TTCCCAAATAATACACAACAGCAAAGTGAGGTGGAAGGAAGAACCTCGTGAGCTTTGACTCTGTAGCCGCCACGGATCAGCGAAGCAGCCAATTCGAGGCTCAAATCGTCCAACCCAGCGAACCCAATCAACGCCATTGATGAAAGCTAGGTACCACCAGAACCACACCAAACTAAACTTCAACTTACAACCGCAGCTGGATTCTGATCCCCTCAGCTGATCCCTCCGTGATTCTCCCACCAATTGAACTATCCAAAACAGCGCGTTGAAGCGGGAGAACAAACTGAACCTTCACCACATTGGGATCTGTGTAATCTCCTATTTATTTCCTTTTTGGTCTGCAACTTTTTGATCGCTTGCGTGTTGATGACGAGGAATGTCCCCTGGCTAAATAAATTGGCTTCGTGAAAATGATCACAGAGAAATAGAGCATTTCCTTGCTTCAACAGCTGAAATTTGACCATTGTGCTTGTCCGTGATTCGCTGTATGAAATGTAGTGTACCTAATTTAGGACATTTTATCGAAAATAGTCCTAATTTTTTTTTTTCAAATTTTAATATTGGAAAATGAAATTTTTTCTCTCTTTTCTAAAATATTAATTCATGTTCATATTTTCCGCAAGAATATCCATTATTTCATTAGTTTTAGCAAAAATCTATAAGGGGAAGGCGAGATAAATCATCTAATTAAGATTATTTATAATAATATTAATTAATAATTGTTTATTTAGTCTGTTTTGTACATAAACATCACGGCAGTTCGGATGTTGATGAGAAACAATTTTTAATTGAATACTTCTTCTATTTCCTATCATTTCATGATTTGTCTAGATTTAGGGATAACGATTAAATGTACTAAAAGAGAGATGATAACGATTGAGAGTTTTTTTTCTCTCTAATTTTTGTTGTTTTAGAAAATTTTAATTCTCTTTTTTTCTTTTAGTACGAAATAGGACATTTTTTTTTATTTGATCTCTTGTATTTTAATATTTTTAAATTAATCTCTCACTTTTGGACTTTTTTTTTTAATAATGTCCAACGAGAATAATGCTTGAAAGAATAATACTTGAAAAATTGAAAGACCAATGCTACTCATGTTTTTCAGTTGCGTGACACATTATTGACGTTGTGTGTTTTTTATTTTTTACTTTTGGCACGTCGTATCTTCAAGAGACGACATATGCAAAATTTATACATAGTTATCTTCACCTACTTTTGTCCAGTGATAAGTGTATATGACATAATTTAGTGAATTATATAAAAATTTAAAAAAGGGAACAAAATCATAAAAAGAATAAAAACCAAAATTTCAAATTTCTCATAAATTTGAAGGAAAATTAACAAGCTGATCTTCTTTTAGATAACATTCTCATCCTTCTAAATTTTTCATCGATTCACTGAATATGAAATCATATAAATTTATCAACTAGCTATTTATTAATAACGAAAAAGCATAAGATATTAGATTAAAAAAAAGACTCAAAATATATAATCATCAATTGAATACCATCATGAAAGTTTAATGTTTTTTTTTCTAAGGTGTAAAGTAAACTTATAATTTAACCACGTAAAAAACAGAACATTAAATTGATGTACCGACATAAACGTCACTCAACTTGCTAAAACATACACCATAGTCTTCATCAATATGAGTTTTGCTCACATCTCGAATGAATTCAATGACTTATTCGAAGAAATTACGACCGTCGAGTAAAAATTCAAATTTGAAGAAAGAGAAAAAAAAACAAAAGAAAAAAAGAACCACGTGGCAGCATTAAACAAACATATATTACGGGATGAAGACAAAGAATGACAGCCAACCATTCGAAAACGTTGTGTACCTGTGCTGTATGAATTTTTAAATAAACATTTCCTCGATAAATTGTACAAAATGTCCTAAAATATGTTGATTGTTATTATTATATTCGGGAACTTTTGATCGTAAAAATTAATTTTTACTTTTATATTTAAAAAAACTGCATCTATAAATTTTTAGTGGTAAAAATTATGTCCCCTCACATTTATTCCTCTATTCATATCATCTCTCTTAATAATATCGAAAGTTGGGAAATTTCTTGATCAGATGGAAGAGTTCGAGTTAATAATTTGAGTGAGAAAATAGACGGGGATTCAAATTACACATCTAATTTGGTTTTCTGATTGCATTGTGTTTTCACTAATAAAATTTTGAGGGCATTTAATTTTTAAAATTGCATGCAATTTTGTTCGTTTAAGAAAGTTTGATAATTTAATTTTTAGGACTGAAAGTTTATGGGTAGAGTTTTTCAAACCGTAAAAGTTAAATAGTTCAATATTTACAACTGAAAGTTTAGGCGATGCAATTATAATATTGATCATATTTTAGGGATGGTGGGTGTATTTTGTCTAAAAAATTATTATTTTTTAAACTTATTTTAATAATAAACTGTTTTCCAAACTATTTAGACAAATATAGTACTTTTTAGTTGCTTTTAAAAATATTGTAATTCTGGTGAAGTGGCGTTTGAGTCAAACATTCAGATGGTTTAAGAAATCGTATTTAAAATAATATATATATATATATATATTAAAATATTGGTGGGCTACAACAATTTTCTCTCTAATTTTGTCCGGAGAGGTCTAAAGTTTGATTAAAGATTTTAAATGTTGATGTTGATGAAAATGTATAAATACCTCAATTTCATGGAAATATCGATAAAATGTTGATGTCGATGGATATTTCTATAAAAGTTAAAAAAATTAAAAAATCGTAAAAAATATTTAAATTAACCCATAAACATTTTTCCATTTTTTAATTATTTAAAAATAATTAATATTAATATTATATATATATATATATATATATATATGTTAGTGACATTTTGTTGATATGTTTCATATTTTGTCGATTTTCTTGTACTGTGATGGAAATGTCGATTCACCTTTCATGTCGATGTTAAACCCATGAAAATATAGATATGTCGATGGAAACGTCAATGGATATTTAGAACCATGATTTGATCTAATAACTTGTTTATGATTTATTTCCCTTTTTCCTTAAAATTGTAAATTCTTGTTGAAAAAGATACAACTTTTTTAAACATGTCCCTACATCGCACATGTTACTTTTATAAAATTATAAATCTAGTTCTCTTGGATTTTTCTGATTGTATATATTTAATCTTTTGCCTTTAAAATTTTTTAAATATTTGAGAATTCGAGTTTTCAAATTTAATTATAATAATTTTGTGTCTTTGGGAAGTTGATTGAATTAATAAGTAATATAATTTAACACTACGCAACAAAATATGGTAGACTAACCAGGTAATATAGGTATATGAGCCAAGAAATTCGATGACCTTGGCATATGAAAGACATTATAAATCAAGATTTGTTGTTTGTCTATTAATTATTTTGTCTATCATGTGTGATATCACATGTCAAATTTATCAACACCAAAATATCATATATTGAAAAATTTCACGCATATACATATTGTTGAACTAAAAAACAATGATAATAATAAAAAATAAAATTGATGCATCAATATTTGAACTATATCGTATTCACGACAATAAATGATTATAGTCGAAATAAAAATTGGCATTTGAAATCTTTTAAAAATTTATTGGCGAGATAAATACCACCATCAAAATTTATGGACTAAAATTATAATTGGTTTTTTTTGTTTATGTCTATTACTATTTCGAATAATGTATTTATATATATAGAGTAAACTTACCGATATGACCTTAATTGATCGGTAAATGACATTCACTTATTAAATTAAATCTCTGTACCTAATTTACTGAACTAATTAATTAAATAATTAAATATATATAATCTAGTATAATTATCATTCAAAATACAAAATACTCCTAACACTTGTTTTTACATAATTCATCATATATATTTCCTTGTCATTTTTAAACCATCCATAATGTTAATTTGTCCGATGTTTTTTAAAAAAACGTCAGGAAATTTATACTTTGTCTCGACGTTGTTTAGAAACGTCAGGAATAATGATTTAAATAAATGCCTAAAAATGATTTAATAGACAATCTCACGACAATTTTTAAAAATAGTCGAGAGAAGTCACATTCTCAAGACTGTTTTGGACAACCGTCAAGCTAAGGTAACACATCCCGACCTTTTCTAAAAATTATCGGAAGAGGTCTTATTTAAAAAAAAAAAACATTTTAAAAAATATCTATGCCGATGGTTTTTAAAAGCGGTTTGGATAAGTCCAATTCCCTTGACTCTTTTAGACAACCATCGGACTAAGGTAACCTCTCCTGATCTTTTTTAAAAAAGGCAAGGAGACATCTTATTTTAATAATATATTGTCCAATGATTTTCGAAATCCGTCGAGAATATTTCAGTTATCTCAATTTTTTATACACAACTTCAGACAAAATAAGACATCTCCTTACATTTGTAAGAAAACGTCAGGAAATATCTTATTTGTACCAACTTTCTAGAGACAAATAGTTTTAGTCGATGATTTATCACACATCAGTAAAAATATCATCAGGAAAGTCAGAAATTCTTCCACTACTATAAATAGAGGATCTCACCTCTCACGTAAGACTATATTGTTCTCTAAATATAGATCCGACGATATACTATATTGTTCTCTAAATATACTATAGTTCGTCAAAGTGTTCTATGGGTCCTTCGAACGTTAGTGTGCCGAGTCCGAAATTCACTGTCCGAGCTCGATCATAGTAATTGAAAAAGTAATTTATCCATGGTTGAAACTTGAAACGGTTTTCTCCCCCTTTTTTTTTAAGTCAAAATTGTTTTCAAAATTCACTCTCCTGGTCATGGCCTTCAAAATCGAATCCCCAAACGGGCCGTTAGCCATGAATTTTATTTATTTATTTTATTTTTATTTTACGAAACTATCCAATTAATCTATCATATATATATAATTCTCATCTAACAGACTAATACCGCGACTTTCGAGAAAAAAACTTGCATCCAGATTCAAGAATCCACCCATCGTTTCACAAAAGAAATTATTAAAAAAAAAAATCGAATGTTTATTATATCTACCGATTAACGAAGCAAAAATACTGCCAATTATTGTCGTAATGTAATTAATCTCATCTCTCACATATTTGCGATCGTATCCGTCTTCTCTTCTATGTGCACGAAGTTTCTGCAATGGTTTCGAGCGCCGGCTTCCACGATCTCTGCTTCGACATCAATCTCTGCACCGGCTTCTTCGTCGAATTTTCGGTCTCTCGATCGCTGTGCTCCGATTTCAACCGATTCACTTCCGACGGAAGAATGCACAATTCGCTGATCAAAACAGGGAAGATCCTCCCAAATCCACTCGAATTCCCCTGTTTTAGGGCTTTTGTGGCGATGTAAGTGAGAGAACTCATTTCCTCGAGCGTTAGCACGGAGTAGAGCAGATCCATCGGGAGGAGAAAGTACAATCGGCGGCACTCGAGATCTTCGTCAGGCAGAAGGCCTTGAATCCGGTGGCCGACTTTGAGATCGCCGGAATCGCAGAGGAATTTGCCGGAATTCTCTATCATTAATTCCGCAGCTTTCACTGGCTTCGTGTAGCTCTCCAATTTTCCGTCCAAGGATAAGACCTTGGCGGCGCCATTGGAGACCATGGAAGGAGCACAAGACGCTGAGTTCCCCATGGAGAACGAGATTTTTGCGAAGAGTGGAAAAAGGCGGAGTGGTGCCGATGGAATCTCTGGCCAGTGCATGAATATTTATGCATGAATACGACACGGGAAAAAAGTGTGAGTTTTATTTTGTTAAATTATAAATTAATTGCATATTTTTTTATATAATTATAATTGTAATTTGTCTTTACTCTCGGCAAGTAACATCTAGACAGAAATAATGCTGACTTTAACGGTTTACATTTTTATAAGATAAAGTTTGGATGAATTATCGTGATTACAATTAGGATTGAATTGTGTTGATATTGGCACTAACTTAAAGTGAGAATGGAAGATGATGTATCATGATCTGTATTCTTCGTCGTCCATAGAATGCTACATTATGGAGTTCTGCTAGTAAAAAGAAAATCATGTACACCTGGTTTAAAAAAATATATAGTTATTTGAATAAATATAATATTGGCCTATACTATTTCTATTTTGGCCATGTAGGTATTCGTATTTTCGACTTTTACTCATTTTAGCTACTATATTTTCGCAACTAAAAATTATCATTTTAGTCATGTAATTTTCATTTTCATTTCACATTTATTCAAATCATAATTTTAGCACGACTCCCTTATTCACAAATTTGTTTTAAGCTAACATTATGTAATAGGAATCAAAATAGTCATTTAGAGGGATCAACATAGCATAGATACTAAAATAAAAAAGAGTGCCAATAACATATTTTGAAAGTATGGTATTCTACCTACAATATTTTTAAACAACTATAAAATTTGTTGATTTTAGATATATTTCCATTGATATAAGTTAAGTGCTCAGTAGATAATGAAATGGAGTGAACATAAAATAAAAATAATTGAACATAATTTATTGATTGGAAGGATAGAGTTGACTAGATAAGCTAATATTTAGCAAAAATAACCCTAAAACTCCCGTGAGATAAGATAATTATATTGTTTCACTGAGTTTTTTTCCTTCTTATTTATTTATTTAAAGCAATGGGGTTTTGGTGTGTGGTTGAAAATATATTGAAGAAGATTCGGGTGCACCTAATTTGGCAGAAGAAAGCGAAAAACTTGGTGCGGCGGAGGGGAGAAGTGTCGGGAGGAGGAGGAGAAAGGACACAAATTTATTTGTGTTCAATAAGAAAGGCACATGGCCGAGGATGGTGCGGGCCGTTAGGGAAAAAATACAAATAAAATATAAATACTATATTTTCCTTTGTCTAGTTTCTATTTGACCCATATATTTAAAAATATATTTTCGTGAGTATCTTAGCCCACGGAACCACCACTTGAACCTATCACTGGTGTCGATAAACACATAGGAATTACTAATTCCTAAGCTATAAGGTCATTATGTTGTTTGATCTCATTCCCTTTTAATTAACCATAATCCTTTTGGATCAATAAACCACTCATGATGATTTTTAAAATATATATTTTGATATCTTTACTCCCAATTTTTATTCATTTTAACATAGTTCAACGGGTCAAGGTATCTATCTCTCACAAAAGATCGTGCTAGTTTATATATTTTGAAAACGTCTATTTTTATCAATTTACTTTTGAAAAGTGACACTTTTGAGTTTTGATCCATTTTTTTCCTCATTCTTAAAATGTAACCATAAATTTGTACTAAATTAATGACTTTCACGGTATGTAAAATTTATGTTAAAGTTTTGCAAATACACGATCGCGATGGACATTTTTAAAAAATATAGAAAACAAAACATCTATTTTGAACGTATGAATACTAAAATGAACACAAAATCAAAAGCATAAAAACTAAAACAATATACAGAGAGAAAAAAGGATATGGATGTGTGAATCTACCATCTTAATAAGAGTAGATGCTGATTTCGCATGACTAAATCTTACAAAGGAGTGGGAAAGAAGAAAATAGCGAGTATTGATAATAAGACACCCCACCCAACTAATGATTGGGATTGGGAATAGCAAAATTTGATTCGATTTGGTTTCTATTCACAATAATCACCTAACTCTCCATCCCCCAATCTTTTATATTTAATATTTTATGGGCACTCTCCACTCACACAGCTGCCGCTGAAGAAAAAGTTCTTTCCAGCCTACTATGCCTTTTCACAGCTCCTTTGGCTCTATCACAAATCACACCCAATTTGTTTTTCTTATTTGTTGTCTTCTTCACTTTTTAACAGAAATCACAGCCAATATTTATGTATTTTTTTAGTCATTCAATATTTTCCAGAATTTAGAAATTTGAATACATTGAATGAAATCGACCAAACTGATGAATTGGGTCTGGCCCACCTTATTAAATTTGTCGTAAATCCACATAAAATATTTGAGATTCCATATTTTTCCCCCTAATTTCTCCATTTTGCCATTTCAAAACTAAAAGTTATAGTTTTGCATTTTGGTGGGCAAACACAAAATGATGTTAGCTTTTTTTTTTTTTTATAATTTAATATGTGGAGAATTTACACTTTAGATATTTTGATAGATGATATATATTTTAACCAGTTAACGTAAGTTTATATTTTCGTCAGTTGAATTGCATACAAAAACTCAATTTTGGTTAAAACTAAACCAGTTAAACAATCCAATAACCAAACAAATCTGATGAGACAACAAAAATTATCGGACAACTAATTAAGGTAGTTTGGTTGAATATTATATGTGTATTATTATATGTAGATATAATTATTATTAAAAAAATTTGCGAACCACCAAAATTATTGGACTCCACTAGCGGACAATTTGTTGTTAGGAAAAATAATAATGAAGCCAACTCTAACTAAAATAGTTGCGGATTTTGCAAGATACCGGAGAATGGTCAGCCGGTTTTAAAATAATTTAATTATTAATTATAATTAGGCATAGCAATGCACGAAATAATACTCTTGCCAAAAAAAAATAATAAATAAATGCAATAAATAATACTTTTTTTCCTTTTTATTATTATTATTTTTTTCTGAAACTACACGAAATAATACTTAAAACCGAAGAATTTGAAGGAAAAAACGGCGTTTTCTTTTTGTACCCGGTGGGTGTAACAGACTTTCAAGTCTGCCAAAGTCTCCGTTGTCCTTTCTTGCGCGGACATAATTAGAAACTAGTTGTAATCTTTAATAGTCTCTATATTTTTATTTCATTGCAGTCACTTATCCGTATTTTAATCAAAGCTAAATATATATATTTGATTCACCGTACCAAAGTTAAAAGAGACATTGAGGTTACCCATTAACATAATTAATTTATTATTTTATAATTGAGTTAGAACTTTGCTTCACCGTATCAAAGGACATCTATGTCCACTTGTTCGAATTCAGGAGACATCAATTATTTTTTGTATTAAGTTCATCAAAAGGTTCGAACTTGAGATCTCTATATTAATATGACCAAGAGACTTCAAATCCTTGTCAACTGGATTGTCCCTTACGGACACAATAGTACCATAATTACAACGTTTTAGGTTATTCGAATGGTGCAAATATATGAACTTGTATAATGTAGAGGTCCAATTAATTATATTAGTTGAAAATAGTAAATTAGATTAGGTTTTTTATATTACATAGAATGGTCGAGTGGAAATTAGCCTTTCTCTTTTAGTATATCCAACCATGTTTGTTGTAGATTTGACTTTTATTATAGTGTAACCACAAATAACAGTCATTTGAATTTATGGTTGTTCTCACCGACCATAGTGATGTCATGGTAGACTTAGTGGATTAAGTATAAAATTGATATTTTTAAATGTATAGATACTAAATTTGAATTATCATATGCAATACATTAATATGAAATTTAATATATATATATATATATATATATATATATAATGAGATAAATTATAGTATTAATTTGAACATAATTCAACTGGTTAAGATATTTATTTTCGCTAAAAAATTGTGAGTTTGAATCTCTGCCTCATATGTGATATTAAATATGTGTGTGTTATTTTTTTCGATGATAATAAAAATATAAACGAGTAACACCAAATGCGATTATGTTTTTATAATTTATTGATTGAAAATAAAATGGAAACATGATAAACAATAAATAAAAACCATTAGATGAGCCATAGATGATAGAACATAGTTGTGTGTGCGATGAGGGTACTAAAGAGGGAAAAGTTTATGTTGAATGAAATTTGTTATTATTAAATACAATAAACGAATATGAATATTCAAACTTATAATTTTTAACGGACGGTAAAAACCTTCGTCAAATTATGTCTAATAGGGGTAACCAAAGAATGTAATATATGTAATATATATAATATATAGTGTATTTTTGTACAAGGGGTGGGGTTAATTTTTAGACCATTTGTATGGCGGGACCCAAATTAATCAGATTTTTTCAAACGATACATGAATTAGAACTACTAGAAGCTCGTTTTTGATTTCTTGAAAAACAAAAAGAATAGAAAAGAAAGACTCGATTTAGATTTTATACTCCTGCGGGTAAGGTGAGCTATGAACCAGTCATCCGCTGCATCCTCTTAACTGATTTCAGCAATCGCAGCTTCGAAGGTTCATCTGCAATTGGTTTCGTTTCTACTGTTAATCTCTGTAATCCCAAGAGCTTTGAACTGTAATTACTCGTCTATTGGTACGCGACAAGAAGTTTCAGTTCGTGACTCATAAAACAGCCATTTTCCGCGGGTATGTTGCTGCTTCATTTCATCCATGTCTCTGATTTTCACCCTCCATTACATTACACTTGGAATTTTGATGCTCGGGACTGTTATGTTTTGGTTATTACCTGATTTCTGGAAGGTGCAGGGATGGCGATTTTGACACATGGAAGTCCGAATTTCAGAATTTTCTGTGAAAGGGAGGGGAGCTTGTTTTTAGGTATTTCTGCTGCTCCAGTTTTGCCTCAGAGGGTGGGAGTTTACGGGCATTTTGTGAAAGGTTAGTCAATTTTACCTGTCTTTTTTTAAGTTCTTGGACTTTTCTTTGCGTGGTTGTTGATTGGAAATTCTGAACTAAGTTGAATGTGTTATGCATGATTTGCTAATTGTTCTAGAGAAAGTAAGAGTTCCAATCTCTCTACTATTTATTTTATTCACCGATATTGTTGTCTTCGTTTGGCAATTTAAAGAGAGAGTATAAAAAATTATGGTATGACTTTAAACATTAAATAATGGAACACAAGTTGGTGGAATAATAATAGTGAAGAATATAGATTGCCTGTCAATCTCTTCACATTGACAACTCCCAATAGACTTTGTTAAAAAATCCGATTTGTTCGATGGCCTTTCGACATGTATGCTCAACATAGTCTCGTCCCCGTATAGAAGTGCCATATTTTCGTTGACATGATTTTTATGTCTATGTTCCCTTGGTATTGACCACCCTGTAAAGTTGATTTATGCAGTTTGAAGACTGATGGTACACACCGTCAGGATTTTAAGATGGAATAAAAGGGATTTGACATAAATTACGAGCTAGAGAACATGTGCAGGAACAAAGATGGTCTTTCGTTTTTTATCTCTCTCTTTTAATTGGTGAAATAATCACGTTTAAGAAATGATTTACATCATCCTGTTATTTATATTGTTTAAAGTTCAAGCAGATTAGTCATAAATTCTTATGATTTGTTATGGAATCATGATCGATACTTTTATGTTTGAATGAAAACACCAAACATTTTCATTAAGGGAATGAAAAGATAGGAAATGAGGGGAGAACCATTTGTCCAAGAAATCTTATATAGAATTGCTCCAATTGGCTTACATCAAAAAAGAAGAATAATTACAAAAAAGTTTTGAGAGACTTCTCCAATTGGAAGCTACATAAGTAACTATGTTTAGAAATGCTTCAAAACCTCATCTGTAATCATTGAAAGTCCTTCTATTCCAATTTTTTTTTTCTCTGTTCAGGGGACAAGTGGATAAAGGTGAATAAAGGGTAAATTTTTGCACATTGTCCATTGTGTTCACCTTTTCCAGCAATGGAGTTCAAATGTAGAATTTGGTTTCCTTGGAATTTTTCTCTTCCAAATATAGCTTGTTAGAAATGTGTTAGGTTTTGGACGAGGGGCTGAAAGGTGTTGGGATTAGGATTTGCAAGATAAATCCTGTGTTTTCGTGTAGTCACACTCTTTCATTCTTCAACCGAGGAGAGTTTAAAAGCAGCAGTCTTTCCCAGAAAGTTTGTTAAAGCCCATATCTCCTCTTCATTTAGAGTTTTTTGGAAGGCTTAATCCCATAACTCTCTTTGTCCCAACAATCGACACTTGTACAGTTCCTTGGCCGTGTAGAGCTTAGCATGTTGATTGAGGAGGAGCATCCTGACGGCTAGATACTGTATTTACTTAATTTTAATCTCTATTTTATCAGTCTATTTTTTATAGTGTTATAGATGACTGGAAACTCTCTTTCCCGCGAAAACTCTAAACGGTTGTTGCTAGTATAATTTTATTGCAGAACGAATAAAACAAGCACTTTCGCAAAGTTATATTCAAGTCAATTGTGACTAGCAATTAAGTTGATCTATCATAAGAACTCCATTCAATTACCATATGATTGCTATATCCTTTTTTCGTCAGGGAGAGGAACTAGTCGAAGGTTGTCGAAGAAGGAACTCTGTGATTTCCCTGGGAAAGGATCCTTTGCCGCAAGGAACATTGTCTTCACTGTCCCTAGGGACAGTAGCTCTTCAAACACAAGCAGCAGCAGCAGCAAGGACGATCCTTCAAATCAATCCGAGGCAAGGCAACTATCTGTTGTGATTTTTTTCTCTCTGCATCAATGGATCTTCTTTTTACGATTTCTATTGGAGCAGTTGTGCATTATATATTATCTACTTCTTGAGTATATGGTGATTGCATTTATAAAAAGCTTAGCAGAGCAGATTCCAGCTGATTCACATGACACATGCAGTTTTTTGTTCCTACAAGGACAGTGCAATAATATTCTCCCTCTTTCTTCTGGGGTGGGGAGTGAGATGCTTTAGGGGGAACTAGTGCAGACATTTCAGTTAGTATTTACTTGATTACTTGATCACACTTGCATAAATCTTGATGATAAAGGAGAGATGTCATTCGCTATGTGCATGGAAGTTAGTCGATATTTTTCTAGGGAGGACAAAATTTTACATTCTAACTTTTTTTATATTTAATTTTTCAATTCTAAAAATTATGGGAACAGAGAGGCATATTATATATTCTTTTTGTAGCCGGTGGGTGTAACAGACATTTTTTTCTGCAGCAAACACCTTTTGGTTACACGAGGAAGGATGTTTTATTCATTGGATTGGGCGTCACAATTCTTGGATTTGGGTTGAAAAGTGGATTAGAGGTACGTACTCAGATTTTTCACTTTTCCTTTTGATACTAATGCTCTGATTTATTTTGTTGTTTTTGGTCTTATATTTTAAAAAATTAAACTTATAAACATTACTACCTTTGTGTCTCATTGTTTTGTTATCTACTTTTTTTATAATATTTCCAAAAGTTAACCCAACTCTTAAAAACTAAAAAGGTAATATTAATCTTTTTTTATTATTTTATTATTTGAAAGTTGGCTCAGAATTGTATTTAAGAAAGGTGAAAAACATATTTCGAAATCGTAAGGAAGCAAGCATAATTTCTAAAAACAAAATCGTTATCAAAACGGACCTAACTCTTCCTCTCGTAAGAGATATTTGTTTATATATTTATTGATATTTGTTTATATATTTATAGAATTCCGAGGGTGAACTATCTCCCCCTCTTCTATACACTTCCATTAATTTTCTGGCTGCTCATTGGAGATAAAACTTTTCAGTTGCTCTTTTATTGTTCTATTCCAACGTTATTACTCCAAAGAACAAATCATATACCAGTACATTGTGCTTTTGCCTTTTAGTTCTGTGAAATTCATGCTGTTCACTTCTATTCACCAAATGTGTAATTTTTTTGTCTTGATATCTTGTGCAGTTTGCTGGGTATGATCCCATGCAAGCAGGCAACGTGGTCCAGCTTGTACTGGTTTTGGGCTTAACGCTTGGATGGGTTTCCACGTACATGTTCAGAGTTTCAAACAAGGATATGACATATGCTCAACAACTACGTGATTACGAGGACAAAGTCATGCAGGTGTGATATGTGAATCACTTTTAAGAACGTAGAACCAAACATCAAGCTGATTTTACTAAAATCACTTATTTTGAATGCACCCTGAAACGCATCTATAAAGTTCTTGACATTTCTGTTTTAGTTTTTCAATTACTTTCTCACCAACCTCAATTAATTTGTGTCTGTAGAAACGTCTGGAGAGCCTTACAGAAGCCGAGCTAGTAGCGTTGCTCGAACAAGTCGAGGAAGAGAAGAGCCAGTCAGCTAGTGGTGAGCAGGTCAATTGAAGTCATTTTAATCCTTATTTGTTAGAAGTTCTCCGACTAGAATTGTGCATATGATCTTCTATATGGGCAGTGTATAATAAGTTTCTGATGCTTAGATAATGCATTTTAGATAGCTGTAAAAACCATTAATACATAATTTGCGCTGCACTAAACTACCTGGCGATGATTCTTATCTTTTAAATAATAATAGGAAACTGAAATTAAATTGCAGAGATGCAAAGGGTTGAGTAATAAGATAAAATTACTCTCGACACTCGAATATTTCAAAGCTGTACAAAATCTTAGGAGCTACAGTGTTCAGTTACTCTTACTTTGAGGATTCTGTTGTTTTTGAAGTTTACTATGAATTATGTTAATCATTAGTTTTTGTTGTTAATCAATTGATTAACAAAATATTGACAGGACACTTCAGTATATAAATTTTGATAATCCTGGTAGTGAGGATCTAGCATGATATATGTATGCTCTTGGCAATAATTAGTCCAAATTATAGATCATACTATCTTATCCAAAAATTACCTAGCGATAAAAGTCAACATTTTATCAAGTGACGTTAATAATAAAGATGGAAAATAAACATAATTCAAAATCTAGATATGAATTGGAAAAATAGTTGGGAAAAAAATCATTTTGAAAGTTCTTTGCTATTAATTGAAGTAATACTTACAATATTTGAGTCCCATTGTTATTAAATCATTGAAGAGCTTCAAACATTTTAAGGGCATGTTTGGAGCTATGTTAAAAGTTGATTTTCTAAATTCATATTAGATAGATCAAGTCTGATGCATGATCATATCTAACATGTTCTCGACATTTTACGTGTTGATAAAATTTGTTGATTTTAATATATTTTATTAGTTGTTCTAAGTTTAATTGAAGTAGTCAAATATTAGCACCTGTTTTGTTAATGATAAATTCGAATTGTTCACTTTATTTGTAATATAATATTTAAAATATTATTTTCAAAGCTCATGGTTGAAAATAATAATTTAAGATAAGTTTGCTAATATTGCCCCAACCTCCATCGGTGTAAATATATTAATTAAACGTATTGAATAAATATCTAAAAGAAAATGTAAGCATTATTAACCAATGACCAAATGCTATCACATCAGGTTTCGTCTTATAATAAACCTCAATTATTATTATTATTATTACTATTTAAAAGTAGACTTATAAAAAAATTAAAGAAAAAAAAAACCTCAATTATTATTATTATTATTATTTTCTAGTATAATGACAAAAAAGCAAAAAAGTCTCTCCCGCCTCACGACTCGGTGCCGGATCATTATTCTCACCTAAACCGCCCGTCACTTTACCGGTCTGACTGAACCGGAAAT